CGTCTCGCGATACTTGTTGGAACTCGGAGGTGACGTCGTTGAGACCCTTGCACATTTGCGTCTCTTCCCACCACCCGACTGAGAAGAGTTGGCGCTTCAGGTAGATGCGACCAGCCTTCTGCGACCCACCATACAGCGTCTTCAAGCGCGTCCACGCGCCCCACGCTTCCTCGCAGTCATCAACCACGTGATGGTAGTCCGCGTTCATGTGGAGCAACATCAGTCCGAACGCAATGTTGCTCGCCTTGACGTAGTCGTCCTTGGTCCGGATGTCCGTGAAACTCGGCGTCGTTTCCCGGTTCACTACGTGCCATACCGACTTGGCTAGAAACACGCCACGCATGTAGCGGTTCCACGTCGCGTAGTTGTCACCGTTGAACTTGTCGATGGTGACCTTGGTCGAGGCGTCATGGGCAGAGGACATGGTGCTTGGGCTCATAACCTGTTAACGGTGTAGAGGTGTTGGAACGAAGCTTGGGACTGAACGGAGTGACTTCTGCACTTGGTGTGGAGACCGGAGTGAAGGCACTTGAGCGGAAGAAGGAAGATTCGAAAGTGATTGATTTATCGGGGCTTACACTGTCCTCACTACCTAGGTCATCCAATCATTCTACTCGTCCAATCATTGGTGGCATAAACAACGTACCATAATCACAGCGGGATCGTATTGGACCGGTTCAGGTTGACCGGTTAATGGGTACAACTGGTACACAGTACCAAGACCAGCAACCCTCAATATCCATGGCTATGATTTGGAAAGGGTAAGTCGCTTGGATATTTCCAGGTGACTCCCCTTCGATTGTGGGCCTGCCCTTGTCTGTCTCACAATCCACGCATTCACCGACGTATCGTTGTACGCTCTTGAATAGTCCTCTCCAGTGGAAACATTCCCGGATCCGTTGGTAGGTCCGACCAATACCCTGATGCCCGCCTTCCAGGCTAGCATGGTAGTGGTGTAGAACATCCTGTTGCAAGGTTTCTGGCATCACCAGTCTCATCAATCCATCCCGGTCCTCGTTGACTTTCTTCGTAGGGGGGGGCAATAGAAGAGCAAGTCATTCAGATCCACTGCGTAATCCGTAGCGATAATACTGTAGGATTTGGTATCCTCCCGACTCAGGTCTCGTACATCCCCCATCAGATACTTCTTTAGTCCCAAGATCCACGCTTCCTCGTTTTGTGCTTTGAGGATCCGCTCAATGCGAACTCCCTTCACAAATGTTTCCTCGAGGATCTGGGGGCTGGATCCAATCCTTCCTCTGGACCTATTGACAGCCATTACCTGGACTGTCCTTTTCCCGGATCCAACTACCACCACTTCGTCTAGTCGGTTCAACGTGACGAGATCCTGACGCCCGGCCTCTCTCTCCACCTCAACACCATATTGATTTCGTAAAGCGGCACTGGCCAAGCTGTCCGCACTTGCATTCCGATCTCGCTTGACATGCACCAACTCGTGATTCATCCAACCACGCAGGTGGACCATCACCTTATGCCGTAACAGCGTTAGGGCCGGGGCCTTGCAGTCAATCTCACCTCGCACTTGTCTGATCACCAAGCTTGAATCTCCACAAATCACCAGCCTTTTCGGATCCTGTCCCTTTAGAAGATCCAAACCCAGCAGGAGTCCGTTATACTCCGCTTCATTGACGATGAGGCCCTCCGCATAAGTGGATCTGGCCCTTACGACTTCCCATCCGGGCGGTTTTTACAGCATTGCGCTGTATGCTCCTCCTCCGCGTCGCACGGGAGCAGATCCATCGAAACCCAGGTTGTACAAATCCTCATCCACCTGCAACGTCGGGACCGGGATCTGGATCCGGCGTTTGGGCTCTTTCTTAGGAGCGATCCTGGTCAGCGCTTCGTCCAGCTTGGCTCTAGGTGTGATACTCGCGGCCAAGACTCCCAGAATCTCGTCTTCCCCTTTCGAACATTTCACAATCTCCAGTGTCCAAGGGGAGAGTAACGCTGCCCATTGTCCCAACCGTCCTTGTAGACCGGCCGACTTGAACAGCCAAGCGAGCGTAGAGTGTCGAGGCAAGATCCGGATGGAATACCCCACCAGCAGGTTATAATTGAGATCCAACACCCGTAGGAGTACGATTATTTCCTTCTCCACCGCTCCATAATTCAGCTCATTCGGCTTTAGCGCTCGGCTGACGAAGGTTACTGGATGGTAGATCCCCTCATGTTCCTGTACCAAGGCTGCTGAGACTACCCAGTCACTGGCATAAACTGTCACCGTAGGTTACCGCTCCGGATCGAAATGGCGGAGGATTGGCATCGTCGCGATCCTGCTCCTTAGCTCCACAAACGCGTGCTGAGCTCGGATCCACCGAGGCTCCACCTTCTCCGAGTCCCCCTCCGTCAGCTCTGTCCAGATTGGATCCTCTCCCAATTGGTCCCGTGACGGATCCAGTTCATGCTTAAGGCCGTCTTCCGGCGTCATACTATGTGGATCCCTTCGTGGATCCGACATCTCCAGGGCCAGAGCTTGTTGGATTTTGATCCGGACAGCCGAAGTGGTCATCGCAGCAAAATCCGCCTCCCTCAATTCATAGAGTACTGCTGCAAACAGTGCGTAATCCTCGATGAACCGACTGTAGTAGTTCAAACTGCCCAAGCAGGATTGCATCGCCCGTAACGACTGTGGGAAGGACAAGTCTGCCAACGAAGACAGGTCCTTAGAATTCGCCTCCAGTCCCTCCTTGGAGACTCGATGACCTAAGTAATCCACCTTGCGCATTTCCAATAGCTCTTCACCACGCTGATAGAGAGATTTCACTTAGTACACGCCTCCAATAGGGATGTCACTTCCTCGCACAACTGATCCCACGAT